AACTGTAATTCCAGCCAATGCCCCAAATAAAACAAGGTTAGATACCTTTCTTTTCTATTTAACTATTTAAAATTAATTTAATAAATTAGTAGATTTTTCTTTCCCTCTTTGCATTTTTCTTAATTTAAATTTATTATTTAATTATTTTAATTTTTAGCTATTTTTCCCCCATTCCTTCTTCACAATCTTCCATAGGGCTCCAGTATTTCTAATTTTAGAAATTAAGCCCTCCATATATCCATCAAGCAGGTATATTGTTATTGAAGTACAGAAATCTCAGCTATCTGGAGAAAATCACTTTTTTGGCACATCTGCCTTGACATTAAATCTTTTTTGGGTATTGGATGTTCTGATTTTTAATTATCGGTTTAATTCTATTAAGATGGCAACGTGAAATAGTTCTTTATAAAATAATGAAGGATTTATGACACTAAGGGAATCAAAATTTATAAAAAAAAAGCTCAGTATTTATTCTATTAAACATTTCTTTTAATGTAAGTTTATTTAACCCGTAACAGGGAAGGTCAAATATTGGGACATAACCGGGAATGTGTGGTCACATAGACTGCATCTCATTATGGTTTAAATAAAATGTTCTAATCAAAATATTAAAATTTTATTTTACCCATACATTTTTATAAACACTTATCTTCGAACAGGAAAAAAAATATTTTACAAAGAACATCAACATTAGGAATATCTTTTCTGCAACATGAATTTATTTTATGAAAAACCACTTGCAAATCTAAATTATGCAAAACAAATCAAAATAACTATTATTTTTAATGAATAATAATTATTTCCATTAATTTAACATGTGATAAATACATTCAGATGAAAAATACAAATATTGTACAAAACATTAAAAAAAAAAAAAAAAAATGACAGTACCTTACTATCAGTAATACCATTATGTTCTTGCAAAAGATATCAACTTACTCAGCATATTCTTGTGCACATTCATGACATAATTTTTGTGTACATACCAAACAAACTGGCATTTTACAACTTACACATAAATACGAAGTTTTCAATTCTTTCTTTTTCTCTAATATTTCGTTTGTGAAAAGGCCTTCCCAAACGCTTTTAGGATCCGTATTTTCACCCAATTTTCCATGCACTCTTAATCCTGGAAGATGAACTATATTATGCACAGGAGTTCTCACATTTCGTTGAGATTCAATAGATGATTACTTCAAGCGGTTCCTCTCATAATAATATTTTATAGATGAAATGGATTCAGTCTCTGGTTCAGTGCATTCATTGTCAGATTCAGAAAATTCTGACATCATCGAATGCGAACTTTCATTTGCAAAATCTTCTTGGCATTCATCTTCATCACTAAATTCACTTTCCACTTCATCAAGAATTCTTTACAGCACTTCTGCATAATGCGAATTAGAAGGATATATGATATTTCTCGGACTGAGTCTCAGGGCCATGTTTCCACCTGGGACAGAAATCGTAAACACTGAGAGGAAGGTGGTGCGGTCTGACATACTGCTCTCAGACAATGGAGTAGAATTTCGCAAGAAGCAGGTGCAAAAAATGTTGGCCAATATGGGAGAATTATCAAGGTCACAAAAGGAGAAGCTAGCAGGAGAATCCACTCAGTCAGACTAAATATAGAATAGGGGTGATAGGAAAAACACCTGTAGTGGTCTCTGAGACTGCAGCTCCCCTAGTTTGAAAGTTCCATTATTCAAGTCCTGTGATTGTCATGTAAAAAATTCCCATTAAATTGCCAATTGAAATCTCAAAAATATCCTTGTCACTATCAGTAGCCATTTCATTTTTCCCCAAAATTCAATCAAAAAATTGTCGCAGATTTTTATTGCATTTTTTTAATTAATTTTACGATTTTAAATAGGAAAATTTTATTAAAATTAACATTTCTAATATTTTTAAGCATTTAGGATAACTTTTTTACTTTAATGAAAATAAATAGTGTTTTCCCTATAAGTAGTCTTTTTTTTTTTTTTTTTTTTTTTTCTTACATGCTGTCAGACAGGGATATTATATTTACAGTTGTAATTATAAAAAGGTACAATTACTTTACCATTTGTTTCGAAAGCCGAAAGGCACAGTCTAGCATCACAGTTCAGGTAAAAATGCTTAGTCTCTTTTCTGTTTCTTTTGCTGTTGCTATTTTTCTTCAATGGAGATACATAATACTGTCTTCCACTGTCACAAGAAATTAGCTGCATACACTCTAAGTCAGCCATTATTTTAAAGAAGAAATAGATTGCATTGATGTAATTATCAAGTGAATAGTGAAATACAATCAAAAATGCTAAGCATTGAAAGATAAAAATTTGTCTAATGATACAGAATGTGAAAAAAGCACACAAATCAGAACCAATCAGAAGAGAAAACACAATAGGAAGTGAACTATCATTTAGAGGACAACTATCGCCATCTATATGACTAATTTGATATTGAAAATAGAATAAATACAGAAAAAGCAGTACAAGTGATAGAGAAACAAGATTGCCCATACTGTGTGAAGGCAAATCAGTAGTGGCTCAAACACAGCGTGTCCTGTATGGTGTGCTGGTAAAACTGGGCAAGGGTTAAACCTATACTACAGGTTTTGCCACCATTAGTTGATTACTGATCGTGGCATCATCATCACAATGGAAGACTGTTTTACTGTCTTCGTTTACTAGCACTTGTCCACATTTCATCACAGATTCCATGGCAAAATTTCCCTTTCTAGGGTCCATAATGTATCCCAAAATATGGTTGCTATTATACTTAATTTTGAAATTGCTCTTTATTCAGTTCTAATTATGTCAACACAGTTTTCTCTTGCTAAGGCCGCCATGGAAGACAAATATCAAATATTTTTTCGCTTTGCAGATCCAGAATTAAAAACTCTTTTCAAAATAATTGAAAATTCAGACTTTAATTTTGATGAGATAGATGTAATAATAATAATAGCCTGCAAAAAATAAGCTGGATCAAATTAATTAAAGAAAAGCATAATTTGCTAGGTTTACTGAATTTAATATCCTCCGAATCTCTTTTTCTCTTACCCATGTTATGCCCCCCCCCAAGAAGTGGAATTAGCATTACTTAACTCCAATCAAATGTCTTAGGGCTTTACATATTGTTTAGGTTAAATAGAAAAATATTAATCTCCCCCATTCTTCACAATTACTCACGAGCTGAAAGTTTGCAGTGACCAAACTTTCATGCAACATCAATCAGTGTGTTGTCCTTGGCCGTCGTGTGACACCCTAACCCAGCAGGTGTTTGAAAGTGACATACAAGAATCTCAGTTAATCGGAAGAAAAATCACTATTACAATACACTTGCTTTTTCTAGAAATTCTTAAAAATATATATATATATATATATATTGCTGCTGGTCCGAAGAAAAAAAATCTGCATATTGGACATCCATATTTCAGACTTTGTGGTGTGTACTTTTCCTTGAGACTAAATCTGTTCTTCGTTGCTGTAATTTTACAGTTATTATACGACTTCATTGTACAATTATGGTATCACGGAATCATCTAAGTTCTAAATAGAAATTTAAAATGCTGTTGATTGCTATCATTTCAGTATTGTCTGACAGGAAAAATTTCATCATCAAAGGGTATTACAAATGTTCCAAGAGACATATAATAGCATAAACTGTTATTAATCCTGTAACATTTACTTTGAAAGGGGGGGACGAATTCATCTTGAATGAAAATTCTGAAATATGTGTGTTTGGGAGGAAAAAACTTTGAAGTCTGTTAATACAAAGTAATTAAAGGTTACAGTAAAATAGGGATAAAGCATTTCAAGCACTGAACTTATGTTATTGCTACAATAACAGATCATTGATGCTTGAGATATACAGTAAAACTCAGTAAATTTTTGACAGCATATATCAGGTTAATTGTACAGATTTTCTTTTCCATATGTTTTATGTGAATTGTTTAAAGTTGGAACTTTTAATATAACTTATAGTTATTTGGCAACAGCTTACATTTTGTGAACTCTTTCCTTTCACTTCATGGAACTTTTAACTTTTAGTTCTGTTTTCTGCTTAATAAATATGTTATGTCACTAAGATTCTGATTTATTTTGTATCATTTAGATAATATCCAGACTTCTGTTTTATGATTATGGCATCTGCAGCAAGGACAGTTTAATTAGATTATGAAATAATGCATTTTTTATATTTGTTTATATAAGATATTTAAATCAAAAGTAAACAAGACAGTGAACTGACCAAACTAGTGATCCTGAAAGGAAAATTTAAAATCCACGAAGAGTTTATAAATTTATATAATTTAGGGTTTTGCAAAATCCCAATGAATAAACTAGTCTTAAATTGTATTTTGTTTGAATTAAAATATGATTTGGAACATAATGTAATCACCTTGCTATTCATGCTTATAACCAGTTTTGATTTTACATATTTCCTTCAACTTCTAACTTAGAAAAGTATTTTGCAGAAAATTTTTAGCCTAGAATTTATCCTATTTGAGTTGAATATGACACATTGTAAGCGATCAGTGTACATTGTAAGCATCATATTTCAAAACTGAGTTATTTTGTGCACAAGATGAAGCAAACTAAATAGGAAATAAGTTTATAATGTATTCAAAGAATTTTTATGCATAATATATCACTATAGAAATCTTAATAAAAGTATCTGCATCTGAATAGAAAGCTCTTCCCATATTTGATGTTTTAAAATGTAGCTTTGCTGAAAATCATGTACTGAATTTTCACTACACATAAGTATTTACGAAATTGTCCAAAAATTTACTTTGGAAATTAATTTGAGTAGACTTCTAATTTCATAGTGTATTATTTTTATGAACATTTTATGAACCCCATAACTACATTGTAGCTTTGTAGTTTATTAATAGGTTATTAGAAGAAATATAATAAATTTCATTTGTAATCTCGGCCTTTAGAAAAGGTTGCATAAAATTCAGAAAAGAACTTTTGTGAAAATTGATGGGTTTTCATGAATTATCTTGTATGCTTTTCTAGCCAATCGATATCAGGAAGGAGTATGCTTTGGAGCAATGGTCCTGATGGATAAATGTTGCTCTAGATGGAAGGAAAGGTCTCCTTGTTGCTCAACATATGAACGATCCAGACCAAAACATAAGACTCATTATGCTGATAATGAAAAGATTAATAAAGATCATTTTATGCTCACTGAATTATTTCTTTGCCACTGAGTACATTTTTGGCCATAAACTGTATAAAACTGTATAGTTTAGGAACTGTTTTCTTGCAGTTATTGGAAATAGTTTAGTTTTTAAAATGTCTTTGGTATGTTTATTACATGAAGCAGAGAGATAAAATTAAGTGAATTTAAAAATTTCTGTTGGTGACAATTTATTTATCTGAACACCTTGTCTTTCAGCTATTTATCTTTTCTAGTCTTATCTTTGATATAATTTAAGTAGCCTAAAAATGAGATTAGGAGTGAAATTAAAGTAATGTATAGTTAGTTAATGAGTATTATTATGTTTGTGTATATAGTGTTTTTGCGTAAAAGCAAAAGTCCTTTTTATTTTCCTGTTGTATTCTCAGTTCCAAAATTGGAAGGAATGTTAATGTTGTTTGTCTGCACATTTTTTTCCTTATTACTAAATCTTTGTTTCTTGATATAAATTACTCTGCATTTTAAATACTCAGCAAAATTACCTGAATAATTTAAGTTATTGTATATATTTTTTTTAATTTTAATTATTAAGGTATCTTTTAAACATTATATAAAAAGTAAATTTCAAGATGTAAGAAAAGATCTTTCATGTTCACTTTAAAATTACTCAAATTGTGTAATATATTTTTTGCACTGTAGTTTGAGACTTAAAGTTGTGCTATTAAACTATCTTGAATTCGATGTGGTTCTTTTTATTATTTTTATTTAATGTATTGTTTCAAATGTATATATATATATATATATTATTTTATTTATTTATTTATTTTTTTTTTTTTTTTTCGTTTTGAAATAATGTTTTTGGAACTGGTGACTGAAAATTGTGTGATTTTTTTTTTTTAAGTTCTTTTATAGTTTCTCAGACTTAAGAAATTGTCAAATGCAGTATTTTGATTTGGGGAGTGGATGTGCTAATAAATATAAGATTATTTTGAACTATCAGCTTACTTTTGAAAGGAGTATATTTGAGGAGAGGGGAGAAAATGTTAAAATGGAACAGTTGAGTAGCTGTAAAAGAAATTAACTTATGGAACTGATGTTACTGAACTCAGAAAAATGTTGGAAGTAAAATATGAGGATTAAAGAATTGTTGCAGAAAAGTGTTAAGCCTGAATATATAGTATACATTTTTAATTGTTCCAGATGTGGAGTCAGTGACGCATTAGAGGTTGAAACTTCAAGACGCCATATTTCTATGAAGAATATTAAATTTCATACTTTATGTATAAAATACAGTGTTACAAGTGTATAAAGTACAGTGTTCAAATTTTAATATAATTTGCAATAATATGCTACGAGAAATAATTTTTATATCGTGGAGTAAAAATTTCCTGCCTCTCCCCACCTTATAGAATTAATAAGCAGTTGAACAAAAGGTATGGGTATATGGCAGATATTTTTCAAGTATTTATTTATTCAAAATGGAATACAAAGCTATTAGAAAGCAATATGCTACGTTAGTTTAAAAAGAAGTAAGGTTGCAGGTGTGCGTGATTTGAAATTAGTTGTAAGAATTTCACATTACTTTTATCCTTAAATAAAAGTAATATATTATATAATTTCATGGTGTCACCCAACCATGATAGTGGTTAGTGATTCTGACTACCATAAGGAAGCGCCCGGTTTCGAATCCCTAATAAGTCGTGGATATTTTTGAATGTATAATGTGTGTGCGGTATGGGGAAACTCAAAATATGCGGCGAGCCGAAAGTCCTCACGAGAGGTTGATGGTAGGAGAAGAGGGGTGCGAAACCCACGGACCCGTCCTTCCCCTGGTGTTCTTTAGAATTGGGTGTGGAACTGAGCAAAGTCGTGCTGTAACCTGTATGGTGCCAACGACAGATGCAATCTTGCTTCCTTGCCACGATGAATTTCGTGGGCTTGTTTTGATATTAGACAAGTGAGATTAGTCACAACAGCATCCTTATTTTATGGTAACAAGAAGCAATAATTCTCTGTACAAAATTCATGTATAATTTATCACGAATAATAAAAGCATAAATAAATTTATAAAGATAATGACTTGTGCTTTTGACTGCATTTCGATTAATACGCTTCGTTATTTTGGCCCCCATGCTTTTATTTCTTGTGATATAAAATTGTAAATGAATTCTGTAAAGAGAATTATTTAATTCCTGTTGACCTGCATGATAAATGATTTTTCTTTCAATTCAATAATTATTTTATGAATTTATTACATCTTGTTTTATTCTCATTGTTCTAGCCTTAATGGCATGTTTTCAGTCAAATTATTCAGTTGAAAAATCACTTTTTTAACCCCAACAGTTTTGTCAAATTCCTGAAAATTGAGTGATTTCTAAAACTCCGCTTCCTCCTCAGAATCAGAAAATACATATTAAAGGGTTTATATAAACTTCATTTAAAAGATATCTTTTCCTGCTGTAGCCCGTGGTGCAGTAAATCTCTGATAGCTTACTCGTTAAATGAAGATACCCACGAAAAACCATTCCTTTATATAAAAAGAAAAATCTAAATCGAATTGTAAAACAAATCGCTGCACCACATTGTGTTGTCATTCAGAATGAATGTATGCCAAATTTGAACTATGTAGCTTATCAGAAAATAATTTTAAAAAATGATAGTTTTGACCATAGCCACAAACAATCAGTGAGTTAACAAAAAAGCTCATAAAAAGGCGTCTAGATTAAAAAATTCTAAAAAGACGTATAATTAATTTTTTTTTTTTTTTTTTTTTTTTTTTTTTTTTTTTTATCATTGATATTTTAGAGGCTGAAGATTTTGTTTTATAACTTTTGAAATCCGTATGAAGAATTCTTTTGGGAGGTACTTAAAAAAAAAGAAAAAAAAAATCAACTTTTAAAAATAAAATGTTGAGAAGTGTATGAAGCTATAAAATAGAAAAAATTGAAAACGACAAGATAGATTTCATTGTAAGCAATTTTATACGTTGATCAATCTTTTAACGCTGTTTTTTTTTTTTTTTTTTTTTTTTTTTTTTTTTAGATTATTAAAATAAAAACAGTTAATACAAATAAATCTGTAAAGAAGTGATCACAATCACATGACGGAATGACATCATAACCTGAAAAGGAAGAACCTATTTGTGTCCCATCTGCATTCTGTGACCACCAGTGGCCGAGATGTGAAGTCGCTAAACACTGATGGATTCGCACGGACGCAATCACACATGGAGGACAAGCGTCTACGGAGAGAAGGCAACTTTTGGGATCATGAATTTGATCCTCCCGTCTTACACGCATCTCAGTTCGCGCATCATGTGACGTTAACAGATACGTCAAAAATGTGTCTGTTTACATTTTGCATAACTTCGTGCGTTTTATGCTTCGTTAGTATGTGAATTTTGCTTTCACATATTTATAATGAACTGAAGAATCTCTCAATAAAAGACCCTTCTCACGGCCAAATACTTAGGAATATTGTGAGGATTCTGCTTCAGAATATTAGAATATATAGCACCAATTTAAATGAGCTGGGTGGTGATATCAATGATCATTCAAGACAATAGATCTGAAATTCACATTTCCGCTTTGATTACGATTGGTAACATCTTTCAGAAAACTGTAATTTCAAAATCTTACAACTGTTCTATTTGCAAAAAAGTGTTTTTCAAATGCCAGCAATTTATAGCATCATTTGAAGAACATACATTCCAATAAAAAGCATATTTCTACTGCTGAAATATTTAATTCCAATTCAGATCATGCATTTTATAAAGTCGTCAATGGTAATTAATTCGATTTCATATACTTTTGCTTCAAAATCCAGTATAACTTCAAAAAAGTTTTAGCTGCCCTGATTCCAAAAAAAATGTTTCTCAAGTAACAGCAATCTAAAATGTCACTGCATGAAATTGCATATATCACAACAAACAACATTACTCAAAGCAAGTAAAAATAAAGTTTTCCAATTTAAATGCAGTTTTTATAGTCGTCAGTTCAACAATAATAAAAATTTATTATTTTCACAATCAGATAGTGCATTTACTGCCCTTGAGTGTTCATCATTAAAAAATTATGTAAATGCACATTATGTAATGAAGGTTTTCCAAAGGAAAACTTTTCATTACATTTGCAAATGGAACATGAAATAGTCATTGAAAAAGAAGAGAGAGATTTCTCTGTGTTTAATGATTTCATGTTGTGAAAGGAGAATTTTGAAATGGAAACATAATCTAAATTTTTTTAACTTACAAAGAAACATGACCCATTACATGTAAAAGATATTTTTGTATGCCATCATTCAGGACATTATTTTATATCTAAAGTGCAAGGCATGGGACATTTAAAAATACAAGGGAGTAACAAAATTAATGCTTATTGCCCAGTAAGCCAGTTTAATAATGGAAAATGTACTGCTTATATAGAAAAACCCATTGTAAGTCATAGAAAGGGTATAGGGCATCTGTCTCTTACAAAATTAGAACAGCAGTTATACCATTCTAATGTTAATTTATGTAACTTAAATTGCTGGAAAAGTATCTTTTGATGAAATTTTAGATAAAATTCAAGATTCTGTATATGATACTGCATCTTTTGACAAAGAATGATTTATGGAATATTGAAAATTCGGTACTCTTCTTCCGTTATCAGAACCAGAATCAGAAATGTATGCATGTATGGCTGGATGGATGTGTTCATGTATGCATATATATGTGTACATATGAATGTATACATTTCTGAATCTGGTCCCAGTAACAGAAGTGTACCGAAAAATTCTTATAATCCACAATCAAATGCTGTAAGGCATAAAAATGATTGTATAAATGTTAATGAAATGCCTGGGGTTAATGAAATTACTAGTGAGGATAACAACTCTATTTTATTTTATAAGCCTTAAAATAGAATTTTAGAAAGTTATCCTGAATTTTAAAATGATGATTTCACATTAATGAAAATGAATGACTCCCAGAGGCACTTTCTTCAGAAAGTTGGGATCAGACTATATATGTATAAATGGTACACATAGGTTGAACGGTTACAGAATTGAATTAATTACACTGCTTTTTACTTGATGCTTTGCTTCACTTCACGGCTTTCCCTGTGCATTTATTATTACAAACAGAAGTGAGCAGGAAGTTTTGTCTGTTTTTTGCACATCTGAAAGATAAAGTATGTCAGTTAACACCCGAAGTATTTATGAATATGAATACAAGCTAGTTTTGGCTCACCAGCGGCCGAACGGTAAAGTCACTGAACGCTGGTAGTTTGGTCCGAGGTTCAAGTCCCTCAAACGGGCTGTCTGCATGGGCATTTCCATGTTTTTTCTCATGTGTAATGTGTATACGAGCCAGTTTCCCTTAGAATGTCCTCCACAAAGGCATCCCTCCCCTTAGGCAGATGGCCATCAAGTGCTTTGCCATAATAAAATAAACCAAACCAACAAACTAGTTTTGATTAAAAAGTCTTCCATGAAGGTATTTCTTCCCCCACATGATCTTTGCCATATTCCAGTTCCAACAATCAAATCAACACATGTGTATTTAACTAACTACTTAATTTGAAGATTTTTGGGCCCACCAGCGGCCGAGCGAGCGATAAAGTCGCTGAACACTAGTAGTTTGGTCTGAAGTTCGAATCCCGTGAATGGGCTGGCTGCATGGGCGTTTTCGTGGTTTTCCCCATGTGTAACATGTATAGGAGGCAGTTTTCCGTAGAAAGTCCTCCACGAAGGCATCCCTCCTC